TTTTTTGTTAATTTTTCAAACGTGCATTAAATAAAAGAACTACAAAAAATAATACAATAAAATTGACTCAGGAGGACACCTAACCTCAATATATACAGCAGAACAATAAAACCACGCAATCGCATTCGTAAAAAACTTACATTTTTAAATTTAATTTCAATTTTAAAAAAATGTAATACAATAATTAATATACAACTTGCTTGACAGCAGATTTCGATAGGGAAAACTAATGACATTTGTGATTTGACATCTCGGCCACGATTTGGCCTGTCTGATATTTTTTTTTTCGTTTTTGTTTCCACACTTTGATTTTTAAATAAATTACATACTGAATCGCCATTACTTTTCACTTGAGATAAAAATCTAATTTGTAGTATGTTTTTTTTCTTTCTGTGTCCATTACCTATTCTTTTTGTCTTATCTTTGTAGCAAATCATAGAATAAAGCAACGAAACAATTTCAATTAAACATCGATATAATACACACCACACCAAATGACATTTGAATCAACATGAAGTTGGTTTGCTTCTATTGAATAAAACTACAATCCCTATTAATAAACGAATTATAAAAAAAGTTAATTAAAAATATTAAACATTAAAATCTGAAAACAAGTGAAAATAAATTAAATAAAATGAAAACAAAAATGATGAGCCGTCATTAGGTGTAAAAAATAGAAATGTTATCTAAAGCGGGTCGACCTTTATGTGTTTGTATATATTGGTACCGCTGTGCAGCGGTATAGGCGTATTCAAGCATACTTTCCGCTGAGTAATTGAAATATAATATTTATTTTTTCACATAATTCGTCACGACATTAATTTTTTATCTTTTTTATTCACATTTCACATTGTTTTTTTTTATATTTATATAATAAATAAATCCCGTACGAAATGTAATACAATAACCAATATATACTTCGCTTGACAGCAGATTTCGATAGGGACAACTAATGACATTTGTGATTTGACATCTCAACCACGGTTTGGCCTGTGTGAAACCACTATCGGATTACAAAGAAAACATCGATTTTCGGATCCTTCCGACACAAGATGAAGAGGTGTGGAGATTTATAACAACGTTATACTCCTTGAGAGAGGGTCGGACACAATTGGCAAATATCTTGAAATCGTTCATTTCGTTCTCAGAAGTAGGAGATCTCTAATTTATTTTATATATAATAGAATTTGCTCTAATCAAAACTAAAAATAATTTTTGTTATTTTCTCAGAATCAGTTAGCTGATCCAATGACGCTCTTAAATGATAAGAACAAAAGTCCGTATATTATTGGAATTCTAGCTACCGATAAAAAGAAAGCGAAATATTACATCGACCTAAAGCATGTTCTTCTTTCTGTAAGTACGGACAACAATGAATGTGCCAGCGCTCCACCTTTTTCGATTTTACTTTAATTTATAAAATTATTATCATACAAAATGTATTTACTTAATTTGTTTTTCGAATTTTTAATACTTTTGAGTTGCAGTAGGTTTTTTTCGTCTAATTTCATCAATAAAATAAATTTAAATTATTTTACATTATTTTAACCCTAAAACCGTCCATCGGGCACTCAGTGCCCGAGCAAAATTTCAAACTAAAATTAAACCATTTTTTTTCATAAAACATCACCAAACCCCGATTTTTTTCAGCTGGTCAAAAACGTTATGTATTTTATTTGTTTCATGCAGCATTTTGGTGGCGTGAATCGGAAAATAATTAGAAAGCAGCGATCATACATCATTCGTAAGAATGATATTGTGATGGCGAAGATGAGGTCGTACTGTTCCTGGCCGGCACGAGTTATAGATATCAAAGAAAAGAGGACAGAAGTGTTCTTCTTTGGCACATGTCAAACTGGAACAGTAGACACGCATAATGTAGTTCTGTTTAATGAATCGCATGAAACCATTATATTTTTGCTTCGTCGAAAAGATCCAACATTCTCAAAATCAGTAAAAGAGGTTGAAACCATCATGAAAGTTCCTGAATCTCAATCAATTTTTAAAAAAATAGAAGAGGAGGAAAAACTTGAAGGATAATCCATCGTGCATTAATCATCTATTTTCTTATATTGCATTGCATCGATTTAAATATGCTAAAAACTATGTATGTATTGTGTGGGAGCTGTGTAGAAATAAAAATATTGTTGGCTTGTAAGAGTGAAAAAAGATAACATTTGATACCGTTTGTATTTGTTTGTCATTTAAACTTTCGTCTATATTCTATGAATAAAATTATTATGATTGTACTGAATCAGTACTACTGATGTGTGTATTTAATTATAATATCAATTCGGTAAATTAGTTTTATCCTAAAATCGGTTTGTGTCGCTTATCGTTTTCTTTTCTTATATATCCTCTCATCTTACAATAACTTGATTCTAAAGATATCATTTTATTTTCATCTTTCAAACAATTACGGTTTTGTTTAATAATAGAAATTTATGTAGAAAAAGAGAAGATAAAAATATTGGAATAAAACGTTTTGTTTTCTCTCTCATTTGTCAATATTTGTTACAATATGATCAAAAATTCTAGCGTTTAAATGAGATGATTGTATATGTTTTTTTGTTTCTCTTTTTAAATTTTAATTGAAGTCTTGAAGTGTATTGGGTTTGAGTTCAAAGTAGTAATGACGAAATAAGTATATTTTGAAATTACTTTCCGATTTTTAGAAGGCTAACCTCAAAAATGATGTTTGAAAATGGTGGCACACTAGGGTCCAGTCCATCTGCCCCATAAGCGAAACTTGGTGGGCATCTGATTCTACGTGTTGATCCAACAGTCATACCACGTATTCCCTCACTCAAGCCACTGGGAGCGATTGAGCTTCCAATTTTGAACTTGAAATTTGGATTGACGAAAACTTGAAGACCCGTACTCTCTAATGATCCAACTAAACTGATAGTGACTGTTGATGATCTTTGAACTGTGGCGCCATTGCCAATTGAAATATCATGAAAGGTCACTTCTTCGCGAATGCTTTTTGGATTTTGAATCAACTCGTTGTTGTCAGTCATGCTAGCTACTCTGACCTTGTTCGGTTGAAAAGTCTTTCGCATCGGTGCATTCGTCACGGATTGCTAGAATTGGAATAAAATAAGTACCAAAAGATATTATAACATATTTATAATGATATTTTTACTCACAGCTTGGAATGGTTTGCGTGCAAGATGAGATGTTTTGAGCGCTACGTTCATTGGCTGTGTGTTCATATTGTGCTGCAAATATTTGTAATGTAAACAATATATGAGTAACTAAATAACTCTTCCAATTCTGTTCACTCTGAAAGATGTATGCTCATCGTACGTATTCGATCAAAATAATTGTAAAACCTATGAACATATTTTCGCTTACAAGACTTGACGTTGATGATGTTTGTTTTCTCGGTGTGCGTAATGGCACCTGCATGTTAACCCCTTGTTCCGGTGATTTATTTATGTCATCTTCGATAAATTCATCAATATCCTCAATGTGTCCATGATTCGAGGTCGAGTCGTTGTTGTCACTTATGTTAACTGTATTGAATGTGTTGTGATGTGAACTGTTTGGAACCATTGTATTCATTGTTGACACTGATTCCTAAATTTGGAATTAAAATAAGTACCAAAAAATATTATAACATGTTTAAAATTATATTTTTACTCACAGCTTGTCGTAATTGTGTGTTTACAGGACGAGATGATTTGGGCGTTACGTTTTTCGGCGTTGAGCTTATGTTGCACTGCAAATATTTTTAATGTAAATTGTGTAGATGAGTAACAAACACATGCGTAATAAAAATTCTGTTTACTCTAAAAAATGTTGAACTTACAGGATTTGATGTTGATGCGTCAACGAATTTCCGTTTTTTCGGTGCAATTTCCGCGCACTCTGAACAAACTATTTCTAAATAGTATCCAGTAAAAAATATTGTACAAAGCCCATCCACAAAAAATGTGACATTGTCGGCCGAGCCAAAAGCCAAATCAAGCCGAACCTGAGAGTTTGTAAAATTCAAATTCGCCAATGGAATATCTGTATTTTCAAACCGTGCCCACAATGTGAACTCAGTGCCTGTGTCCAAATTTTGTTCCATTTGTAACACGGCTTGAGAAACATGAAGACTTTTTCTTTCATGCAGCGTAAACGGATCTTTGTATGCAACACGGGCGACTTAAAAACCAACAATAAATTCATTCGAAATTAATTTAAAAAAACACACATGATAATAAATTTCATTTAACTTACACCAAAACATCTTGTGATTTTCTCCCATTTTTCCAAGTGAGACTTCTGTATCTCAATTTAATGAAAAACTGAGTAAACGTAGATTTTTCGCGAGATCAGCACAATTTACTGTGTATAAGACGGCAAAGACACTTGATTCAAATGATCAAGAAATGTCAAATAGATTCCACCGCTATTATTTCGACACAATATGGCGCACAAAACAGAGTCGCTGACAGATGACATTTTATTTGACATTTCATATTGGATTTCACATCAGAACATTTAACATTGAGCTATTTTAATCTAAATTGGAATTTCCAATAAACTAAATTAAAATATAAAACGTTTAATTGAAAAATTACACTAATATATTGAAATTTTCAATTTGAAAATCTTTAATGGCGAAAGTATTGAAGGTATATTGAATTATATGATTGCATATACTGCAATTTTTAAAGTTTCTAAATGATTGTTTTACTACATACTTTTTTATTCTAGATTTACTCGACTTTATGTCGAATCAAAATTTGCTCGCATCAACGATTTGCTGGCATAAGTCGCAATTCGGAACGAACAAAGAAGCGTGGTTTGAGATATACATATAAATTTCACACTGGATTCGTGTTCCATAATTGGTTGAGCCGTAAAGTACGTGTTAAATCTCGGGGTAAAAAGAGAAAAGTCTCTCCCGTTTTGCAGCAGCAATCAAAGAGATATGAATGTTATATTTGTGGTTTGACTTTCAAAACACAACATTTTGGCAATGTACGCCGACATATGAAACGACATACGGATGCTCGGCGATTGAAATGCTGTTCCTGTAATAAAAGTTATTCGACTACAGACAACTTTAAGGCGCACGTGAAATCACGCCATGCTGGTCAAGCCCAACTTTGGGTATACGTACATGATGAAAACCCAAAAAAACTTCCGAATTATCGGTGATTGAAGAAAGCAAAAGTGCAGCAAAAACTTAATTAAAATCAAGACCTGTGCTTCTACATGGGCAAATTCAGAAATTGTGAATCACAATTATTATGTGTGTTGAATATACGTTCGCAGGCAAGAAGCAATATGCAATAAATAAATGTCAATTATCTAAATTTGCTGTTTTCTGTATTTGCTGTAATATTTTTTTGTATTGAAGGAACAATTATTATTATTTTATTGTTATAGTTTATTTTCTTCATGAACTCCTACGATTTTTGGGTACGAGAAAACCGAATATGACGTTAGTTTTGCGATACAAATAACTTTCGACATACTTTTCTTACGAAAATTAAAAAAATTGGATTTTTGTATGAACACCATGCCTGTATGATATCGTAATGAGCTGAAACTTTGCACAGGTTATTTTTTCATTATCAAGAGATTTCAATACATAATAGGAGTACCTCCCGAACAAAATTATGGATTTTTTAGTCAAAAACGAAAATTTTGTATGGAAGCTACCACTCAATTGTATTGAAATTTTTTCAAACTTTTGATTACGATATCATACTATACATGCATTGAAAAGTCTATCAAAAATTATTTGTATCGCAAATGTTTTATCAGATTCAGTTTTCTCATGAATTCATATTTACGGCAAAAGATACGTAATAAATGCATGTTGTGGATCACAGTGCGGAAAAGTTCATCTTATTTAGTTAGGTGCCATTTTGGAGTTTTTTTTTTTTCATTCGATTGCCCTGAAAATTCATATCGGGAGGTTTTCTGGTACGAGAAAACCGAATCTGACATTTATTTTGTCATGCCATCAAATTTTGATGCACTTCTCATCCTAAAATTCACCGGATCAAAAAATTATTTGGGGAGATTTTTTTTTTGAAATTTATATAATTTATTTTTTATTCGTTTTTTTTTTTTTCAAATTCAACCGGATAAAAAAAGTGTGTCCTATTTGTCCGTGAGTTCGGACAATCGTCCGAAGTCCATTCAAACTTTTATGGAGAGTAGGACCGGACGTCCGAATGTCCGTTACCATTTTCGGACAGTCGGACCGGACGTCCGAAAGCCTTAGCAAATTTCCGGACGTCGGATCGGACGTCCGGGAATTTGCTAAGGCTTTCGGACCGGACGGACGGACAAAATTGGACAAATTTCTGTCCGTCTGTGTCCGGTTGACACCTTTACTCCAGACGTATTTTTTATTTTCCCCATAATAATTTAATTTTTTCATTCATGGACCCTATTTTTTGGATTCCACTTTGAAAAATATTTCGATTCCACTCCACTATACTGTTCAGGAGCGCTTCTTTGATCCTCTGGTTTTTGCATCATT